CTCTCTCTCTCTCTCTCTCTATATATATATATATATGTGTGTGTGTATATATATATAGATATATAGATATACGTATCCATCTATCTATCTAGTTATCTATCTCTCTCTCTATCTCTATCTCGCTCTCTGTCTATATATATATATATATAGGTAATTGCGCGAATGATGAATTCACGTAATATCAGATAATTAATGGCGGTGTAGACAAAGAAGAAGTCGCCATCTGATTTTCACACGCTTAATTAAGTAATTAAGTATCTATCGTACGAAGTCGACGCTTGGCTGTTCGTGCTGGATTTCCAGCAGCGAAACGGGCAACCGGCTGTAAAATCGATCATTCTCACCGCAAATTGTCTTATCGAACGCCATTTACGAATTTCCTTACAGACGCAGCCGGGGCACCGAGAGCGCGCGGATTTCTACGACTGTAACACGGCTTCTTCTACATTCATTATCGATTGTTAGCGTATTTTCTTCGCACATCTTCAAAGAACTATACAGTAAATCGGGTCGACGGCCGGTAGAAGGGCTGTACCTACATAGGTAAACGCTACATAACGCCACACTGCCGCCGAGTGCTCTGCAGCCGCAGCTACCAGATATCACCTGAAAGGGGGCTTAATGGATTACAGTGTAGCAAACAGGGCTCACCTCGCGATGGTCGGGGTTGTGGAGGGAAAGATATATGAAACTAACGATGTCGCTGCGTGCACTCTCTCGCAATAGGAGACGCCGTGTAAACACGGAGGAAGAAGAGTCGCTTGCCTCGCTCACCCCTGTGATGCCGCTAATTGGCTGATTGTGATTAATTGTCGGCTTATAGCGACGGTGTCACTAATACCGCTAGCACGGTAAGGTAGGACGGTGATGTCTATATCTAACCGCACAGCGGTGTACGCTAGGTTATAACCACACATACAATACACTTGTGTGCATTGAAGGTGAACGAATAAAATAAACACTTCTTTTTCAAATACCACGTATGTACGGTCGGTAGTGATCTTTGAAGCAAATCGAACACTTTTTTAAATACGGTCGGTAATGATCATTGAAGCAAAGTAAACTTTTTCAAAACTGTATACTTTTAGTAACGATCATCGTAAATATATTTAAGCATTTTTCCTTAAGCACTTACCACATATATATATATATATATATATCAAGAGCTAATAAATACCTAGAGTGTACAACGGGAAAACGGGAAAATAGTGCTATTTCACGGCAATATTATTCTACTTTGTATGCGTAGTACTACGTTCTAACATAAGACCAACCGCTTGTCTCTACGATACTCCTAGACCGAGATATTGGAGCGGGATCATGCCTCCCACAGGCCTCACGCCGCCTCGCATCTACAGTATTTACTATCCTTCTTGCCTTTTGCGGGTCTGAAGCGACTTTCCTAACCCGCAAAAGGCGAGAAGGATAGTAAATAGTGTGGATGCGAAGCGCCGTGAGACCTGTGGGAGGGGACGTTTACGAGCCAATATCTCAGCCTAGGAGTATCGTATTGACAAGCGGTTGGTCTTGTTTTAGAGAGCAAAGAATTCTTCTAGACTCGCGGGCAAAGTAGAATAATATTGCCGTGAAATAGCACTATTTTCTCGTTTTTTCGTTGTACGCTCTAGGTGTTTATTAGCTCTTGATATATATATATATATATATATATATATATATATACTTATTATAGTGAGAGAGAGATAGATAAATAGATAGATAGATAGAACAGATAGAAAGGGAATATAGATAGTAGATAGGCGATAGATAGATAGATAGATAGCTGATAGATTAGATAGATGATAGATAGATAGATAGATAAATTAGATAGATAGATAGATATATAGATAAAATAGATAGATATAATAGATAGATTAGATAGATAGATCGATAGATAGATATGATTCGTTAGTGATAGTTAATAGATAGATAGTAGATTGATAGATAGATAGATAGATAGATTAGATAGTAGATAGATAGATAGATAATAGATAGATAGATAGTAGATAGATAGATTAAGTATAAGATAGTAGAGAGATAAGACATGCAGTGCACATGTCAAATCATGTTCCTCATGTCTGCGTGTATATAAATATATCTATATATATATATATATTATATATATATATATATATTACTGCACTCATGCAGTGTCGTTATCTATCTATTATTAATATATATATATATTATATATCTATATCTATAATATAATTTATATTACATAATATACATCGAACGCTAGCACAATTCATTAAAATATATATGTGAATTCCAGCCGTTGTGTTCGCAGATACTAATACTTAACTATTACTACTACTACTTACTACTACTACACTACTACTACTAACTACTACTACTATACTACTACTACACTACTAGCTACTACTTGCTGTGCTGGCTGCTGGGCTCTGCTACTGCTGCTAGCATGCCTGCTGCTGGCCGCTGCCGCTGCCGCTGCCGCTAATACTACTACTTGACTTACTACTACTACTACTGACTACTTACTACTACTACTACTACTACTGCTACTGCTACTGCTGCTGCTGCTGCTGCCGCTGCCGCCGCCGCCACCGCCACCGCCACCGCCACCGGCACCGGCACCACCACCACCACCACCACCACCACTACTACTACTACTACTACTACTACTACTACTACTACTACTACTACTACTACTACTACTACTTCTACTACTACTACTACTACTACTACTACTCATAATAATAATAATAATAATAATAATAATAATAATAATAATAATAATTTTACCTATTGAATTCACCGCGTGAACACGAAGCAAGACATGCGCGAGCGAGCTAACCTATATACGCACCTCTAGTTCGTTGATCGAGACCCAGCAGTTGGGCGGAAAGTTTTGCAGCATTGGCACAAGAAACTGCAAGCAACCGCTCCAGTGTCCGATCAAGAGCATCATACTGATCAGGTTGAAGATCCGCACGAATATATTAGCCATGTTCAAGAACTGCGTGATAAATAAGATCACCTGTATGAAGAAAACCTAAACTAAAATGACGCGCGCGGTCACACGTACGCGAGGTTACGATGAGGGTCATAATATTAAGTCGTTAACAATCTCAAGCCCCCCCCCCCCTTCCCCGTTTCAAAACCGCGCATACGAAAAGCTCGATTCACACACATGCGTCATGATCGTATTTATAATTGTATTTTTCATTTGTATTTCTAATTGTTACATATGTGACGTCTTGCAACTCGATATATTTGGCGGGAACGTGGATGTCATATCTACGACACTCGAAAAAAAGCGTGTCACACGGGGGTTAATATTTATTAGGAGACAGACACAAGAGATTCAAAAGAAGAGAAAGAAATGCCACACACACGCATTCACGGCACACAGACACGCACAAGCCAAGAAGATATTATCGCCCCTGCTAAAACACTAAGGACCAAAAACTTTTACCGGGCGGTTACGTTTCAAGTATCATGGAAACCGATGTTTTGTCAAGTGGCCCATGTCGTGTTATGCATACATGTGAACTGAATACACGCACATACAGCGATAGTAACTGTCAGTAAAGGCTGATGTTATTAATAAACGTTTTAGATTGCGCGGAAGAAAGCTTTTAACGCATCACATGGCATATCATCAAAAAGTTTCTCGATTTTGTTACAAGTGAAACTACCGTTGCTATGTAAACAGATACCTATTATTTTATTACGTTAAGTCAGCCAAGTTGTAATCCTTAGATCTTGGCTAAATGCTAAAATATATGCGTTTTTATGTTATTCCTGCATTGCATTTATCATATTATTACTCCAGTAAATTATAATCATAATATATTGTCTTCGGAAAATTGATAGATAGTTGAGTTTTTTTATATCTTTTTCGTCATGCCACGATCAATACATGGATATATATCTATATCAAGAGCTAATAAACACCTTATTAGCTCTTGATCTATATATAGATCAGATCTATACACATATATATGATTAAATTCTAGTTTATAAATGAAAACATGCACTCGACTACCACACAACAGCTGTATCGCACCATTACCTAACCATAACCGGATTCAAATAGCCGAATTAAAAGATAAAAATTCACATGGAAGTAACAACGCATAATGCGCGTTGAAAAAAAACGTTAACATGTCCCATGCAGCCGACGAGTCACGAAATAAATAATACCGCTGTTGTTTACCCGCTCGGCCACCGTACTTCTACCGAGACGGACACAAGTTGCTAACGCAAGGTTACTATATATATATATAATACTGGTTTCTATGAAATAATTAGGCTTCGGCAATCATCAGCAGCTGACTAGTCGCCGGGCGATCTAACGATTTAGGGGATTTCGAGTTTCAACAGCTGCGCATGCGTGCAGAAGCGTGAGAGATGCAGTCTCGTGTCTGTATACTAGGTGTGCTGACAGCACTTTATCGGCATGCACTGTCATGCTTCTAACTCCAGGCACGACCCCCCTAGCAGTCGCGCCGGGATGTCATCAGATATGCTAACGCTAGTCCATCGGTAGATTGTTTCAGTTCCGCAAACACGACGGCTTTCACGGAAATACGGCTCTTATCCTCCACCGATAATCGCACTGTTTTAGTCCAAGGTTTTAAAGATCCGCAAGGATTATATGAGGAAATTGTTAGTGCCTTAGTGTAGGATGCCGGTTTATTTTCCTATATTTACAAAAAATAGTAGGTTCAACGTATGCACATGCCGAATCGTGTAGGAAAACGAATACCACGTATATGAAACCAGGCCGAGAAAAAATGCAAAGAATATAGATAACAAATTTTGAAGTCAAAGCGTGAGCTTACTCTAATAACCCATATTTTCTGGCTATGTAAGACAAAGTTAATATATTGTAGTCCTAGCTGAATTGCGTGAAAAGTAAAAAAGCACACATCATATCATGAACCGGTTGAGTAACGTTGCACTTACTTTGCTTACTGTTTCAAGAACGAAAGGCTGCGACTGGTCATAACTCAGACTTCTTATAACTGATAGCTGCATGTATAGCAATCAAGATTTCGATAAGTAACCTGTAGGTATGATTTATATATCTCATGTACATCACATTTGAAGTCAGTCGTGTAGGACTTAAACTTTAAACAAACGTAAAGGATGAAGGTATGACAGTAATAAATCAATGGCAGTTGATTGCAATGAACTATCAGCGTAACTAGCAAGCATTGTAGCCACAGCTCCGGTTCATAGGAGAGCGGAGCGCCAGACACCGATATATACATGTAATCAAAACGAAGCCGCGCGCACCCTCTTCCTAACCTCGTACTATCAGGCCGGCAAGAAACGACGCCGCGTGAATTCGCACGACGCGCGTTCAGAATTTATATCTACTTCGACTGAGCACGCGCCTGACAGGCCCGCAGCTAGACGTGAAATAAATGAAAGCTGTCAGGCGGTTTGGCATGCTGTGATCACTGCTGCAAAAGCGTGTGTCGTCATGATACCATCGTATATACGAGGCCAGATACCGATCACGTGACTACGGATGACGATGACGTCACGGCACTCACCTCCTCCCACTGGCTGACGTAACGCACCAGACGCGATAGCCGCAGCAGCCGCAGCAGACTGAGTAACTTCGCTAGTCGTAGAATTCGCAGCGCTCGGCCGGCGTGCAAGATCTGAAAGTTTTCGTCCACATTGCGTTTATTTCCTTCCGTGCTATTGAAGATTAGAAATATGTAGTCCATAGGAATTGAGCTGACGAGATCTAAGCAAAACCAGCTGCGCAGGTATCGCCTGGCGATTTCCCGTGGATTGAGGATGATTTGCTCGGCATTATCCTGCGCGATTATGCCTGAAAGAGAAAAGAACAGATTGGAGCCAAGTCTTAAACAGTATCGCTAAATTGCACAATATATATTATACCGTGCATCGAAATTTGAAACACGTTCTTTACACCAATGACTCATATGGCCAATCTATTCTTTTTTATTTTAGCTTTTCTTTTTGTTCTCTCTCTCGCTCTCTCTCTCTATCTCTCTCTCTCTCTCTCTCTTTCTCTCACCCCCTCCCTCCCTCCACGACACACGCGCGCACGCACAAACGATCGCGCACCTACACCACGCGCATAATTATGCTTACTCACTTCCTCTCTCTTTCTCTTGTCCTCTTTCTCTTTCTCTCTCTCTCTCTCTCTCTTTTTCTCTCTCTCTCCCTCTCTCTTTCTCTTGTCCTCTTTCTCTCTCTCTCTCTCTCTCTCTCTCTCTCTCTCTCTCTCCTACCTTCCCACTTTCTATTTCGCATTCATATAGCCTTCTTCATATCTAATCTGCTAATTATCTTTCGATTTCGCCGCACATTCTAATTCACACGACGGCTACCGTACGTAGAATGCAGACGCAGAATGCTAAACACCGTCTATGTCGTTTTCTCTTTAGTACATTCTTGCGTGATACAGCGGCAGTGCACGCGCACTGCACGATACCAACTGGTGCCTGTCTTAAAACCGACTCGTACGTCACGAGCTCTCTAGGCTAACAAGGCTAGCTCTCAAGGCTAGGCTAGGCCTTGCGCGTGCTAGGCCTAGGCCTTAGGCTAGGCAGCGCTAGGCTCTCAAGGCTAACAACGTTAATTAAAACGGCTAACTAACTACTATATCGTAGGCCCTAGGATTCGTAGCGTCCTTTGGCATTCAGGCATCGCGTTCCCCGAAGATGTTTCGACGTGATATATATGCGATGGGGAAATCCAAGTAGTAGTTTAGTACTTCTGGTCTCTCTATGAAAGAGAATATTTACGTTGTACATACATGCAATAGACAATTCATTATTAAAGAGGCAATGCACCGGAGGGTATGTTATACTACATTAAGTGCAGATTAAATACCGTGAATTCGCCTTTGACTATGTAATATTGATATAGTGTGGGGCACATTGCTTAGTTTTTAATGCCGGAATCTTTACTCGTCCATTGCAAATGTCAGGCTAATGATGGACATGTTAAATATCACAGTGCTCCATACATAATACAATTCAATCACTCTGATAGTCAAATCTGGACACTGACCTTTTGTAAACTATATAATCAATGACCTCCTGAAATCCTTCAACCGACATTACAATTTTCGATATGGCACGCTAAACATTATATTGGTAACGTGCGTTCAGGATTAACCAATGTAGCTTAAATATATAATAGCTTAAGTTAGCTTATATAATGGTTTGAATTTGATTGTCCAGGTTGGTCTATAGTTGCCATTATAACCAGTTTTACCTCGCGTCTACTTCGTTACTAACAGTACTCCATCGTTCCTCACTTATTGATATATTTATCGCCATATTTCTCTTTTTTTGAGATAGGTGCCGCTTTTGACGCCCTGTTTTGAATTGATTTCACGATACAGCGAACTGAGGAATTAATTTCTATATACACGTTCGAATCCCAAGTTATGCCACCTTTCATGCTAACGAAAAAATATCCAAAAGCTAATTCTGTGTTAGAGGATTTTAGCCAATGTTATACCCGTGACGCAAGTCACGTTACACATTAAAATAAGAGGCTTCACAATTTCATCAACGTATCATATAGGAATTTAGCACTCGGCTGGATTTTACGCTCGATCTTTACGTTAGACAATTCTCCCCTCCCTCGTTGTGTAGGTCTCTCTCTCTCTCGCTTTCTCTCGTTCGCGCCGTCTCTACTAATTAACGCTTCCCCTTTTGTCAGAATATGTACGATTCCTCTTTTATCTCATTCTGCTCTCATATGCTACAGCGGAGAACAGCAAGCACCGTCGAATTGAACTGTAACTGTTAATGTTACCAGCTTCGCGGTCTCATTGCCAAAATAATTAGGACTATTTAAAAGATTTTCTTCGGTAAAAACAGCACCGATGGACGTATTTAACATATACGGAGACTATTCCGTGCCTTCGCCTACGCGTCCGCTAAGTTCTTACATTATAGAAAGGAGCGTTTTGCGAGAAGACGAGATTTATTGAAGCTAGATACTTTAGGCATCTCACTGTTTACTGGTATTCATATATGGATCATGTTTCTTCCATAACAAGTAAGGGGTTGAAGGGTTTGAAGAGCAATGTCAATAAAATATGTATAACACACTAAACTGCCCCCAAAGACCTCACTTCGGTGGTATTGGCACTGGTGTACACACGTTGCTCAGAACAGACATTTGAATCACCTCATTCCAATGGGTGAGGGACTGCCTAAGACGAAAAGTACGAAATGTCAGTGGAGTTACTGTCACAACGACTAAGGACATCAACAACTTGCCCAATGGAATGCATCACAAAACGAACAATAGCAACGATGATTAAATATCATACAGTTCCGCAGCTTGATCACAATAGAGCTCAAGTTGATTGATACAACGAGTACAGTACGCGCCCAGTTAATGTTACAGTTCTCTCTATCTATCTGTCTGCCTATCTATCTATCTATCTATCTATCTATCTATCTATCTATCTATCTATCTATCTATCTATCCCTCTCTCTCTCTCTCTCTCTCCTTCTCCTCTTACGATGACACTCACAAAGAGTTGCTGCCGCTAGTTCGTGCTAATTGCATAGCATATAGATGTTCAGCATTGAACTAAAATAGAGCAGCAGACGGTTGTTAACTTCTGCTTGCAATCACTCCCGTG